TTTTACCGCCGTTAAGTGCGATTCCTTCGGACATGATTGATACCTTGCGCAAAGGCAAACGCTAAACATGATATCCGGCCTACTAGCAGTAAGATAAAGAAGGGATCCGATCATACCTCGATACTTTTTGACCTCTACTTCCTTACCTTTCTCGTCTTTGTCAAGATGATCAGACGTGCTCATCGGGGTCGCCATGGCTTTGGCGCTGTCCATTTCAAACCGTTTTAGGAGCTCCTTGCAGTATTTAGTTTGGGAAATGAACGTGCCATCTTTCATTTGCTTAACTTGGAGTCCCAAAAAGAATGTGAGCTCGCCCATCATTGACATTTCAAATTCGCTAGTCATTAGCGCACTACGTCAAAAACAGATGCTGACAACTGTTTCTTTTAGTAGTCTCACGGTGCTGATTTCAGTAGTCTTCCGAGCAGCTGTCTGATATATTTAGAGACTATTGTTTAAAAACAGTTGTGTAAAATGGTTGACGACACCTGTTTTGTAATGTTTTAGAGTACGACTTTTTAGTGTTGTCCTTGTTTGAGTAAGACATCTGTTTTTTAGAGTTAAAGAGAACTGTGATTTTTTGTTGTCTATGTATAATGAATACTACTGTTATTTTTAACTGTAGACTTCTAATTCCTTTTGTTGTCGTTCAACAATATAGACATCTACTTTAAAAAGTAATTGAAAGATATATCAGACTGCTGCTCGAAAGACTACTAAACAAAAATGCCATCAGACAACTGTTATCTTTTGTTGTATTTCTAGAATATGGACTACTAACATTATTCTTATTCAAAGTACTGTTTGTTTTAGTTGTATATTGATTATTAACACAACAGTGTTTTGTAGTTTTTCTTGAAATATTCAAACTAGCTATCTTTTATGACAGTAGTTAAATTGTTTATGAGACAGCTACTCTAAAGATTACTAAATAAATTTGCTTCAGACAACCATTATTTCGCGTTGTATTTTAAAAATATGAACTACTGTTTTTGTAGTCTTTCAAACAACTGTTTGTTTTGATCGTCTACATGTTATTAATACTACGAGTTTGTGTAGTTGTACATATACTCTTCAAACTATTAGTTTGAATGTTAGTTAAATTTTTTATTAGACAACTGTTATCTTGTGTTGATTACCAAATAAATATAAATTCAAAAAATACAATATATTGAACAATATATAAATTCATACATTTAAAATACTATTAACATCTAATAATTTAATATTTACATCATCTTCCTTACAATTTGCATATTCTACATGCCTGCCTTTTCAATCCATCCTATTCCTCTGTGGAAAAATCCAATACGAATCTGTATTTCACGTCGGCTTTGGCTAGGCGTTCCATGGCGGTGTTGACAGTCCATCGGCACAATCTCAACATCGGGCGTGATGTTATGTTGGCTTGAGTCTCCTTTAATTTATTCCAGCGATGCCACTTAGTGCAACCAATTTTCTGCCTGCGATCCACAATCAAAACATGAAATTAATGTCATTTAGTTCATTTTAGATCAATGCCAAGGTGGAGCAGAGATATGTACAACACGTGAATGGAAGTGTGGCTAATATTACATCCCATGATCAAGGGAAACGCCAACAAGTCAAGGGGTTTCTTCGGGAGACCAACAAATACAAGCTTACCATTGATCTTCAATAAGCTTAGTAGTGGCGTAAGAGGATGAACTGCAGAAACTGTGTCGATTATCCCATCAAGTGTGCTCTTTGTAGCCTTTTTTCCATATATACCAAAACCAATTATAAACCATATCATGTTAGCGAAATGAATAACAATACTCTCTAAATATGAATAAATTAATCATAACTTACCTGCGAAATTCCATTGTATAATTACAATAGAATCCATCTGCAGCTAATTGATTCACCAACATTATCAACACACCAAATATATCCTCCATTACATCATTCTTGCGCATGTAATAATTGAAAATTGAAAAGACTCAAGATGAACACCACAAACTGAAAAAAGTTACAGTAGGTAAATAAACCAAAAAGTTGTAGCACATACAAATCGAACAACAAGGCGGTATTTCGGGGTGATATATTTGTTCTTGTCCTGATTGATCAGCCAAATCCTAGCTTTGTAATCTGTCTTTCCCTCTGCACAAAACACAGAAACATGAGAGATCTAATAGAAAGAAACCCATTGACGAAGCTAAATTCGATTTCAAAGGTCTATTCAAAATTCAAACCTCATCTTCTCTTGAACTTGACCGGAAAGCGCTAGAAGTAAGCCCTTGACTTCTGGGCTTTGATGAACACCTGCACGTGAATTTTATCAACAATGACTGTCAGAAATTTGATCTGTTCTAGACTGGTCTGCCGTTTAGACGCCGCCGCTGCTTTTCTCGTCGGAGCAGAGGCTCGCCACCAGATTCCTCGCCGGATTTCGCTGGCTCAATTCTCGCCGTTGGTTCAGTCGCCAGAGCAGAGGTGAACCGCATGATGTCTGGGATGGTTCGCCGAAATAGATGGTAGTGGCTGACTGGACATCGCCGGAGGGAAGTCGCCGATTGCCGATGCGCTTCGCCGGAGTTCTCTCACCGTCGCCAGAGCACCGCCTCCTCAGGCGATTGCTGTTGTTGAATCGACGAAGGAAACTCGCTGACCGTCGCCATGAATTGAGTCACTGCGCCTTCGTAGTCTGTCGCAGGCGTTGCTGAATCGGAAATTGAGAGGAGGGTTAGCCGCGACCCTGATCGAAGAAGAAGAGGGTCCTGTGGCGGCGTTCAATCGAAGAAGAAGAAGAACGGGTTCTGATAATTTGCTTAAAAGGAGTACTTATATTCCTAGGGTTTTTGTGCTCTGTAATTAAAATAACTTGTCTGAATAATACTCCCTCCGTCTCTAAATAGATTACAATTTTTTTTCTCTCCTCTCGATAACTTTTGTTTGTTTACGCTTCATTAAGTATTTGATAAAATAAAATATTCTTCTCACTTTTTGTTTTGTAGAATTTTTGACGTAATTTTTAATAGGTAATTTTTATATCATATTGATATAACAATTTGTAAATAAAATGATTTTCAAAAAGTAGAAAATTTTACTCCGTAACCCGCAATTTGTAATCAAATTAGGGACGGAGGGAGTACATACTTTTCGTGCTAACTTGCTCTAAATTGAGATTCGTTCGCGTTGTTGGATTTGATTCGTCAGTCCCTACCCAACGATATAACTTTTCTAATCGAATCAAATCAAATTCAACTCTCATAAGATCAGATCAAATCTTCAAAAAAATTTATTCACTTGTATAGGTTGTGTCCTATCAGCTAATCGAATCTTTAAATGCATTAGATTAGATCTAATTAGATCAAATCAGACCAAAATAGATCCAATCGGATCGAATTAAATTCAAATCCAATAAGATGAGATCAAAACTTGAAGGAAATCTATTCACTTATATAGGTTGTGTCCTATTTGCCTGATCTAATCTTTAAATGCATTAGATTAGATCTAATTAGATATATTCAGACCAAAATAGATCTAATCGGATCAAATCAAATCCAATAAGATCATATCAAATCTTCAAAGAAGATCTATTCACTTGTGTAGGTTGTGTCATATTTGCCTCATATAATCTTTAAATGCATTAAATCAGACCTAATTAGATCGAATTAGACCAAAACGGATCTAATCGGATCGAATCATATTCAAATCTAGTAAGATCAGATCAAATATTTAAAAAAATTATATCGGATCTAATTAGATTGAATCAGAACAAAATAGATCTAATCAGATCAAATCAAATTCAAATCTATTAAGATCAGATCAAATCTTAAAAAACCAACTTAATTATATTGGTCATGTCCTTTTTGGCTGATCTAATCTATAAATTCAAATCTAGTAAGATCAGATCAAATATTTAAAAAAATCATATCGGATCTAATTAGATTGAATCAGACCAAAATAGATCTAATCAGATCAAATCAAATTCAAATCTATTAAGATCAGATCAAATCTTAAAAAACAACTTAATTATATTGGTCGTGTCCTTTTTGGCTGATCTAATCTATAAATACATCAGATCAGATCAAACTAGAACAAATTAGACCAAAACAGATCAAATCAAATCAAATTCAAATCTAGTAAGATCAGATCAAATATTAAAAGACAATTTAATTGTATAGTTCGTGTCATATTTGCCTGATCTAATCCTTAAATGCATCATATCGGATCTAATTAGATTGAATCAGACCAAAATAGATCTAATCGGATCGAATCAAATTCCAATCCAATATGAAAATCTATTCACTTGTATAGGTTGTGTCCTATTTGTCTGATCTAATTTTTAGATGCATTAGATTAAATCTAATTAGATCGAATCAGACCAAAATAGATCCTATCGGACTGAATCAAATTCAAATCCATTCACTTATATAGGTTGTGTCCTATTTCCCTGGTCTAATCTTTAAATGCATCAGATCATACGTAATTAGATCAAATCGGACAAAAACAGATCTAATGGGATCAAATCAAATTCAAAACCAATAAGATCAGATCAAATCTTCCAAGAAAATCTAAACTTTTATATATGTTGTGTCCTATTTTTCTTATGTAATCTTTAAAAGGATCAGATCGGACATAATTAGATTGAATTAAACCAAAACAGATCTAATTTCGTTCTCCCGCTTCCCAATTTCATTCTCCCGCTTCCTAATTTCGTTTTTCCTCTTTGCAAGTTTCGTATCACCGCATCTTAATCCATTCAAGTTTCGTATCTCTTCCTCTTTTTTTCGATCCCAGGTGCGGCGAGCAGGATCACCAGCGATATCAAAGCAGACCATGAACATCGACGGCGACAAAGTCGTTGGTGATGTCGATAACGGTGGATTTCTAACTTTGTTTTTCTTTCCCAGATTTTTATTTTTCTTTGCATGAGTGTGAGTTTCAACACTTATTTTGAGATTTTATGATTTCGAACTTTCTCTTGTTTCATTCTTGGATTTGATTAAGTTTGTGTCCATAAATGTGTTGATGTATTATAATTAATGAGTTTCGAAGGGTGGTTTATCCCTTTTTTATGTCTTTAAGTGTTCTTATAAGAATTGATGCTTGGTCTTTTTTGCTCATTAGGCTAATGGCCTGTTCTGAATCCAAATGTGAGTTTGAATTAGCATTTGATGCAGCGGTTACTGTACACAATATGAACTTCGTTTCTACTTTGTGCTACTGTTGGACCTTTCCTTTTTGCTTTATTTTGTTGATTATTGGGCGAGACTACTTCGAGTTTTTTATGCTGAATTTTGGCACCAATTTATGTTCCTCTTTTCTTAATGGCTTGCTATGGTGCGTGACTTGTAATTGTTCAATGTGGTGGCGAGTTAAATTGAATTGGTATTTTGGTCTCATCTTTCATATTGATGAACTAGATGCCCATGGGTGATAATGGTTTGGACCTGATGTTTGTACTCTTGGAAAACTTTTGTCTGGATATTTCCCCTAAGAAAGCTGATGTTTGGACCTCCAACCTGCCCAACTACTTTGTTGTGTGCCTGGGCAGGAAATTGGAACTGAAAAGGTTTGCTAGAGCTGTTGTTTTGACCTGCAATGGACTGAATTTTACGTGCTGCTGAAATCAAGACTAATTCCTGTGATTTGGACAGTGGCAACCTCATCACAGGTGGCCTTTTTCTCATAGAATGCTGCTGAATTTCAAGGGCTTTTGTGTTGGGTTTGAGCTATTGATATATCTAGAAATTTGAGACTTTCTTGGGCAACATACGGACTGGAGTTTGGAGATGTACTTGTTGCTGAATTTACTCCCGTTATCCCTGGTTTATCTTACTTATGGAGGTAACCAGTGACTGAAATAGAGGTGAACTTGGGAGTGGTCTACGGGATGGTACTTAGAGGTGCTCTTGTGAGTCAAATACCTTAGATTAGAGGTCATGAACTGTGTTTTGGGGCAATGATTGGAATGGAAGCTGAAACTGAACTATGGGGCACTGGTTTGCTGCTGGTTTGCACCGATTTGCTGCTGGTGTTGCTCCTGTACTTGGCCGAAAGCACTACTAGGAACACTGCCAGGAAGTTGCTGGTTTTGGTTATGTTTATCGAGTGTTTTGAGCTGCTGTTTTGACTGCCCCAACCATAGGCAGTGGCACACTCTTGAAGGGAGTTGTGTGGCCATTGTTTGACACTTGATGGGGCTGGTTTGACCTTTTTGTGACATTGATTGAGATTCCTTTTTCTTGGGGTTGTTTTAATCATTGTGAAGAGGAAGCATCTTTAGAAAAGAAATCCAAGATGTCAACTCGAAGAACAAGACCCCCTCTAATGCAAGGCTTTTTTTCAGACAATAATGGCGAGCCAAACCTTGTGTGCGATAGATATAGTGGACCCTTTATGTTCCTCAGGCCACCATTCTACATTCACTGTGGGTCCTACGTTCTATTTGGATTTTGCCATCTTATTTTTGTTTCTTATGCTTTTATGAGTGAGATTGATTGATTGTATGAGTTTTCCAATTCCCTGTGTGTGTAGCGGGACATTACACAGCCTATCCATGTACTTTTTATATTCTTTCAATAGAAGTGTTTATTTTTTAAAATGATAATTGTTTTAAACATCGGTTATTTGATTGTTGTCTAAAGTTTCGCCCAAAATTACGAAAGTAACGTTAGATAGCGTACACATATTCATTGTAGTGAAGGTTATCGTTTCTTTGAACTTTAAAAAAGTTCGAGACTTAATAGCTAAACTACTGTTTAAAAAGAGTCTTCTTAACTTATTATAAACAACTCTAGCAAAACAATCATATGACACAGACAATTAGTAATAGATTACTATTTCTCATAATTTTAAAAACAGTTCTACGCTTACTATCCACACTACTCTTTAAAAGAGTTTTTTTAACTTATTCTAGACAGCTATGAAAAAAAACCCATGTGACACAGACTACTAGTAATACATTACC